AAAGTGGTGTCAAACTCATTATTTCTGCTGTGCAGATGCAGCCTAAGGTTGCTCCAAGCATGCCAGTTTGATCATTCATCTATGCAATGTCACAGCAGAAATCAAAGACCTACTATGACCAGCGAGATTAAGACATTGAGAGATGTGAATCTCAGAGGCATTAGTGCATTGAAACCAAAATGGATTATATTCATCTGTCTTACAGATCTTTACAAGTCTAGTAGAGTCACAAGTAATAACTACAATAAATTTGTAAGATGGATCAGTATCACCCCTGTATTTTGGTTGCAATGCACTATGCTGGTTGATGCCTCTGAAAATCAGGTTTTTTGATGCCTTAAGAAACTATAATATGATAATGTCGCTGAGGTGCTCTAAATATTCAAAAGTGCTATATCGGGAGAAACAAATCTAGAGAGTCCAAAGGACTATTTTTAATATGTTTTTTCCCTTGGGATTCTTCAGGGAATGCACAGACTATCAAAAACTTTCCCCAACACAGCAGTAAGTAGCGAGGATTCTGCTTGCAGGAGGAAGGGTGGAATTTGGTCTACAAAGCACTCAAGGTAAGTACCAAGTAGTTTTATCATTCTCTCCCTCCTATCCATGATATGTCTACTGAAGTCAAAGCAGAAAACTGCTTCCAAGGATACACTTTACTTTGCACTCAGTACTGAAAAACCTCCACAGAGAAATGCATGGATACTTAAACTGCAAACAGAAGATTCCAGATCATAAAGGCTAAATCTGCCCTTGTTTAGCTACTGACATGGTGCAATATTTTACTGATTTTACCTTGGAATAACGCATCCTGGGATATCAGCATAGGATGCAGCACACCTTCCTTCCAGGCAGAGTTAAAAATACATGATTGCTACTATGGATGCCTAACATTTCTAGTTGAGGATAAGTATACATTCCTGCTTGCCACCCATGGGAATTATTGCAGAGCTCTGTAGTAAGAGTGATTAATGGAATCACAGACTCCTTCTCTGAAGCTGAAGAGGAGGCTTCAAATGGCAGCATGATAAGGATTGTTGTTGTGTTGTTGTTAATATTTTTAAAATATTTGTATCTCACCTGATAGTAAAAGATCTCAGGAAGGCTTACAAGTAAAACTGATATGCAGGTTAGAACAGTTCAAAACAATGTAAATAAATGAATGAAAACCTATTTGCTACAAGATCCCTTTGCAGAATAATTAACATATTAAAAACAGATTAAAACTACAGTTGGCCCTCCACATTTGCAGCTTTGACTTTTGCAGCTTTGATTATTCATGGATCTCTAGGTCCTACAGCATGACTCTGCAGGATGTTAACCATAGAGTCATGCTGGAGGACCCAGAGATTCCTAGAGAAATCACTTCTCTAGGCATTTGTAGGTCCTCCAACTCAATTCTATGGTCAAGTTCAGGTGGATTTTGACCATAGAGTTGCACTGGTGGACCTAGAGATTCCTAGATAATTGCTCTTTCAGGTTAAAAAAAAAAAGGAAGTATTTTTGTTGGTGTTTTTTCCACTTTCATGGGGATTCTGAGCCCATAATTAATTAGAGCTTTCAACTGAAAGATAGCTTACCAAATGTCCGCAGAAGATACTCAAAATTAGGCTTCCCATCCGGAGTCACCCAGTTCCTCCTGCTTCCCCAGCCCTCCGTGAACTTTGATGAGAAAATGCAGGGGTCATTGGGGATCAAGTAATCCTTGAAAAAGTCTGCATAAGTGAAGGTTTCTGGTTTTTCGATGTAGTCAACATGTTCGTGGGGTTGGCAGCTTGCGCCCCGGACTGGGCCGCTATAATCGCGAAAAAACTTAGTGGAATAAGCAAAAGTGTCCCTGTCCATTCAGGCGATTGCAAGTGTCCCGACACCTGACCTAACCAGTGACAGACCAAAATTAAATTATTCTAAAATAAATAGCTGGACTGTAAGACCAGTAGGTTTTTCCTTTTTAAAAAAGGAGCAGGGAAAGAGGAAAAATCAAGAAAGGCAAAGAGTATAGCATAAAAAAGTCCAGTTCCAAATCTTGCTGGAAAACCTTGCCATTTGGCTTGTACTATATATACATATGGCTGATTATTTTCTTTGCTGTTTTTGGTTTTGAAAGACAAGAATGCTTGGAAAGCTATATTGAGTTACAGTCGCTAAAGCTTATTCACCCACATAGAACTGTTTCTCTTCAGCACTACAGCATTTGCCAACAGAACTGTGCTAATCTGCTTCTTCGGCATTTCATGGAAAATGGCACCCAGAGACAGATTCTTCTTGATTTCTGGAAACAAACAGCAACATATTCACTTAAAACAATAATAATAAAAGATGACTCCCACGTTTGTCAAAAGCAGCTGCCAGATCTTTTGACATCCCACGAAGGCCATTCATATTTTGTTTGTCTGAAGTAGCACAAACTAGGCATTTGTGACAGTAATATGTGGACAGAAAGCCTTTCTTTAAAAAATCAGCAACTGCATACACAAAGGTAAAGGACACAGTTGCATTCCAAGTGTACTGAACGAGAGAGAGAGAGAGAGAGAGAGAGAGAAGAAAGACAGAGCCAACCCTTAACTTTGCATGCCCAGATGAGAAAGATGCAAACAGACAAATCAAGGACAAAACAGAAGTGATGCAGAAGATCCTTCATTAGATCTCCCATCATTTTCTTTGGATAAAAGCAGCTGCAGGAGAATTATGAAACAGAATCTCATGGGAAAGGAGTATAATTCATCGGAAGGGGCATGCGATATAAACAAGGAAGATTCTAGGTTTAATCCCCAGAATCGTCAGGTAAGGAAAAGGATGTTGTCTTCCTAAGACCCCTGATAACTACTGCCAGTCAAAGCAGACTTGCTGGATTAGATGGATGAGAGATGGGTCAGATGGACCAACAATCTGCTTGATATAAAGTATGTCTGTGTCTCTCTCTCTGTGTAGTGTGCCTTCAAGTAAAATCTGACTTACGGAGACCCTAAGGCAAACCTATCACAGGATTTTCTTGGCATTTTTCTTCAGAGGGGGTTTACCTTTGACATCCTCTAAGGCTGACAGAGTGTGGCTTTCCCCAAGGTCATCCAGTGGGTTTCTATGGCTGAGCAGGATTTGAACCCTGCTCTCCAGTGTTGTAGTCCAATGAGACCACTACATCATACTGGCAATAAAGCAGCTCTCCATTATTTCAAATTGAGCTGTGGTGCCAAGAAGGAGGAGTATTCTCTATTTCCTCTGCCCCTTTTTTCTGAACTATCCCTCCAGAAGCTGCTATTTGGGGGTAACAGAGAATCATAGATTTGGAAGAGACCATTTGGGTCACTCAGTCGAATCCCCTTCTGCCATACAATTAAAGTACTCCCAATCACAATCACAAAGATGGCCATCCAGCCTCTGTTTAAAGACCTCCAAAGGAAATTCCACCACCCTCCGAGAGAGTGTGTTCCACTGTCAAACAGCTCTTACCTTTAGGAAGTTCCTCCTAACATTTTGGTGGAATCTCTTTTCCTGTAGTTTGAATTCATTACTCCAGGTCCTATTCTCTGGAGCAGCAGAAGACAAGCTTGCTCCATCCTCAAAATGACATCCTTTTGAATATTTAAACATGGCTATCATGTCCCCTCTTAACCTTCTCTTCTCCAGGCTAAACATACACAGCTCCCTAAGTCTTAGGCTATGGTTTCCAGACCTTTCACCATTTTGGTCTCCCTCCTCTGGACATGCTCCAGCTTCTCAACATCCTTCTTGAATTGTATACAGAAATATACACAGTAGCTGTATATTACCTTCCTGAAGCAAATACTTGCCTCTAAGGGGTTGAGATTAAACCTCCCCAACACTGGCCTTTGAGCAAAATCTGTCACTTCACCCCAGCTACCCAATTCATATGCAAAAAACAAAGAAAGAAGAAACCCCATCACAGAGACAGACCATATCTAGTTTGGCTCAGGATTTCATCCTTCTCTGGCAGATGCCCATGTCTTGCGCTGGGAGAAATGTGGCCTCAAACTATCAATCACTGGAGATCAAGCTTATTCCAGCCCAGGAGATATGTTTTGAAAAGGAGAACAAATGTAGAAACACCCGAAGGAGCAAGAATGGGCAAGGCTGCAAGTTGGCACAGTGCCCTCTTGTCCAAATCCGGATCTCCTACAACCCTTACTAGGCTCATGGCTGTGCTATTTCTACAACTGTAGCAGCAGAGCTCACGCGTTTTTAATCGGAAATCTCAATCTCAGTGCAGCCACAAATTTACCGAGTGGCCTTAGGCAAGCTCTCTTTCTTTCACTTCTGGGACAGATGACACAGGAAAATGACAGTGACCTACATACTCAGAGATAGAAACAATCTTATGCGCTTATTTTGAAGTAAAACTTCTTAATATACATTACAGCACATTATGCATGCTGCATTATATACTATACCAGAGAAAACCTGTCACCCTCTAGATTTTGTCAGACTGCAACTCTCATTAAAGCTAGCCAACAAAGGGAATTGTGAAGGAGGATGGATGCTGCAATTCAACATCTGGAGAGTGATATTTCCCCCCAAATTTTAGGATACCTAGTAGTGGTTAGAATATTGGACAGAGATTCGGGAGACAAGGGTTCAATTCCCAGCTTGGCCATGAAACTCACTGGATGACCTTGGGCAAGTTACATGCTCTCAGCCTCAGAGGAGGGCAATGGCAAACCTCCTCTGAACAAATCTTCCCAAGAAAACCTCATGACAGGGTTGCCATAAGTTGGAAACAATTTGAAGGCACGCAACAACAAAAAGGGCAACCAATGGCTTCCATATCAGAAGTGCAGCGACTCCATTCTGAATGTTACGGGAAATTATAAAATCGCTGTCCAAGGTGCTGGGACCTAGTTTAGGGGTCCATTCATCTAGCATTTTATTTATATCCTTCCTTTGTCCCAGAGTAGGACTCAAGGCAGCTTATGAAATACAAAAAAGGAAATTACAATAAAAATCCAAGTAGTTAAAAATACACAAAATTAGATTAAAGAAGAACCTGTGTAGTGTAGTGGGTTAAGTGTTTGACTGTGACTCTGCAGACCAGGGTTCGATTCCCAGCTCGGCCATGAAATCCACTGGGTGACCTCTGGCAAGTCACATGCTCTCAGCCTCAGGGGAAGGCAACGGCTAACCTCCTCTGAACAAACCTTGCCAAGAAAATCCTTTGAGAGGGTAGCCTTAGGGTTGCCATAAGTAGGAAAAGACTTGAAAGGCACATAACAGCAATAAATTGGCAGCTAAAGGCTTCCATATTCGAAGTGTGGTGAATGCACTCTGAATTTTATTGAAAATTATAAAGGAGCTGTCCAAGGTGCTGGGACCTAGTTTGAGGAATCTAGCTATCTAATTTTATTTACATCCTGCCTTCATCCCAGACTGGGACTCAAAGTAGCTTATGAAAAATGAAAAAAACCAACAATAAAAACCCATGTAGTTACAAATATACAAAAGGAGAGATTAAAAGTAGAAAATTAACAAATAAAATAAAACCTGTGTGGCATAGTGGTTTGAGTTTTTGTTGGAATATGACTCTGGAGACCAGAGTTCAATTCCCAGCTCAGGCATGGCAACCGACAGGGTGACCTTGGGCAAGACACACTCTCTCAGCCTCAGGGGAAGGCCATGGCAAACCTCCTCTGCACAAGTCTTGCCAAGAAAACCCCTTGATAGGGTCATCTTAGAGTCGCCATAAATCAGAAATGACTTGAAGGTACACAACAACAACGAGATTAAAATGGTAGTAAACTAACTACAGAATTAAAGTCATTTAAAATCTTACTTTAAAAGAAAGATTATAAACAGTGCAGCACCATAAAAGGACCTTCTGTTAACAATCAATTCCCAAAGGCTTGTTGGAATAGGAAGGTCTTCACTTGAAACCAAAAAGACAGCAGAGTAGCAACCAGCCTAACCACCCCAATACCTTGGATAGTTCTTTTGAAGTTTGGAATAAAAGCCAAAGAGGATTCATCACATCGCTCTATTTCCTATATCCATCTGCTCTCCTTACTTGCAGGCTACAGCTTCTTTACTTCCTTTGTCCACCAATGACCATCCTTAAAACTGGGCTTGCCACTGCATTTCCATACACACAGGATTTTGAATCTGAATTGACATTCTCACACACAAATGACTTATATAGCTCTGTTCTTGGCTTTCCACTCCACCAAATGCATCTGAGGAAGTAGGCTCAGGTCTGCGAAAGCTCATGTTGCCAACTTCTCTCTTTCAGTTAGGTCCAAAATACACTGCAGAAATAATCCCGTTTGAGACCGCTTTAATTGCCCTGGCTCAGTGCTAGGGAATACTGGGAATTGTAGTTTATTGTGGCACCGGAGCTCTCTGACAGAGAAGGCTAAACGTCTCACAAAACTAGTTCCCAGAATTCGCTAGCATTGAGCCAGGACAGTTAAAGTGGTCTCAAACTGGATTATTAGTGCAGTGTGTGCTGGACCTCAGTATCAAAGGTGCTACAAGATCTCTTTACAATACTGATTCTGCAGACTAACACAGATATATCTGAATTTCTCATAAGCCTGACATAGAAGCCCCAACACTGCCTTGAGATTATAAATCCGATGCACATTTCCTTGGAATCACTGTTGAGTTCAGTGGTATTGAACTCAGAGTAAATGCCTTTAATTCAAAAAATATTATGACTGCAACACATATCCCTTCCAGCTTTCCGTTTCCCTTGTTTCCACATCTTGCCAGAGGCAAAACTGCAGAAGAATTAAAACACTAACCTATCAGTGATGTATATAAACTATATATAAATCCTTTCCAGACTAAAATACCCGGCCTGGGACATTGGGACCTTGGATTTCTCCCTTAAGACTGTCTTCTCAGCCCCTGTTAGAACTGAAGTCATATAGGGTTTGTTGGTTTATATTCAATTGCTTTTATTGTTTATTGTTATATTAACAATTATTGTTTTTAACTGATATGTAATTTAATTGATTTTTAAGGGGGGGAGTTATATTATTTTAAGTTGTATGAAATTTTACTTGTAAACCGCCTAGATTGGTCCGCCACCGGGCGGTATATAAATAAATTTTATTATTATTATTATTATTATTATTATTATTATTATTATAAACGGAGCAGAAGGGAGAGGGAATGAGAGCAAGCAAGCAGCACCTTTAAGATCAATTTATTTATTTTAGCTAGGGTTTATTCCAATCCACATTTGTTGTTATGTATATGCCTTCAAGTCAACCCTAAGGCAAACCTATCATGGGGTTTTCTTGGTGAGATTTGTTCAGATTTGCCATGGCTATCCTCTGAAGCTGAGAGAGTGTGACTTGCCCAAGGTCACCCAGCGGGTTGCCATGGCTGAGTCGGGGTTTGACACCTTGGTCTCCAAGGTCATAGCAATGATGAAGTACAATGTTGATGATAAAGATTCAGGACAACTATCTTTCAATATGACAAGGGATGAAGCTGGAGCAAGTTTGCTTCTTTTGCTGCTCAGGAAGCTAGAAGAGAAACCAATGGATTCAAATGACAAGAAAACGGAATCCACCTGAACATTATAGGTTTTTTTGTGGGGTTTTCGGGCTACGTGGCTGTGTTCTGGAAGAATTTAATTCCTGACGTTTTGCCTTCTCTGGCATCTTCAGAGAAATGGTTGTTGAAAGATGGTGGGGAGGGAAATCTAGCAGCACCTTGAAGAACTCTTAAAAGTGGGCTCAACAGGGAAACTAGGGGCCTTTACAGACTGCCAGAAATAGTGCAGCTTGAGTCCACTT